TCGTAAGTAATTCCACGGGGTTGTGGGACGAGAATCCCGAGCGGCGGAGTAGGTTTCTCCTTTGATGGACCGCATCGGGTGGGCGGTATGAGTTAAGTCGAACGTCGCTGAAATATCTCCATGATTTATTGGAGCCAACGTTGTTCGGCTATACCCTCACAAATGTTTGGATTGGATTCGTTTCGGTTATCGGAAGAATGGAGACAATCGGCTACATTCTAATCGAGTAATTTAAGGGAAGATGGCCGATTGCTTTTTTTCGAGCGGATGAAAATAAGTGAACATAAAGTTGTTTAATCAAGGAAAAAAGGGTATCACACTTAAAGTTTATTACAAGCCTAATGTCTCTTTGGTTCGTAAGATGATTGATCGCTTCTATGGCCTCGGTCCCGATTCGCTAACATTATCTAGCACTTTGTGATCTTCATCTTCGTAACTCGGATATTGGATAACTTGTTTTTGATCTCTTTGGTCTTCTTTGATGGTCGAAGCTATTTTTAGTGAAGTTGCTTCTATGTTCTTGCAGATTGGTTATATGGGCCTGTGAGACCTGAATTTTGGCATTGGCCCGGCTAGTTGAGCTTCTAGTCCGATTTTTCATCCTCCATGGATCTCGATTCAGCTCCAAGGTTGCTAAAGAATTTCTCGTAGTCGGATATGAGAGTGAAGATCTTTAATCTCCAGTTTTTCAAAGATCTATCCTTCGCAGAGCGGCCCTCGAAGATATGTTCTTGGTTGCCCTTTTCACCATAGCAAAGTGATCATCAAGATGGGCCGCAGATTCTAGGGGAGCTTTGAGAGCGAAGGGATATCTTGATCAATGAGTTCAAGAAGGTCTTTTATCCGGTCTCGCATTCGAACTGACTAATGGTATCCTTATTCAAGAGAATAATCACTTCTTTTAGCCGAGCTCGATTCTCCGGTGACAAAGTTTGATGAGAAGTGATCTCTTCACCTTTCTCAATAATGTAGTCCTCAATAGAGAAGGAGTAACGGTGGTGGGTTTAGTGATGTTCTTCTAAACAAAGAGAAAGAAAGAAGGTGTTAGCCGATTGGGTAATTTTGCTAAAATATAGTATGAGACAAGGCGCGTTACTGCTAATGATTGGTCATCGGATGAGTTATACCCGCTTCTTTGGAGGACTTGATTGAAGGTTCGGAGGAGACGGATCCGGAGATTGATCGGGAGAAGTTTCCCTTGCCGTTCATCTAAGATCTCATCTATTTTCAAGAAAGTAAGTGATAATGAGCATAAGAGATAGATGTTGTTAAAGAGAAAGGAGAGGAGAATTGGTTGAGCAATGTTACCTATAGTCTCATCAGGTTTATGAGCCTTTGAACCTTCAAACTTCATGGGTCTCTGAAATTTCGCTATCATGAATTTCTTCATCTTGAGAGAAACTTGGGGTTGGTTCTCTGTGATACCGAGGTATTACCCGGTATGGGAATTTCGACTTGTGGCTGCAGTGGTGGAAGGAATGAATGTAGAGATAGTCGAGCCATCGCCAAATGAAATGGTTGACTCGATAAGAAAGCAGAAGGTTCATGCCTTAAGGGATAATCTGGCTTTCTTGGTCCTTGGTTTCTTGGGTAAGAGAAAACTTTCGGTGTTTTCTTTTTTTTTTCCTCTGGAAGATGCAAAGAAATGAAGTAATAGGAGTTCTTATGAGTGCCTTTAGAGGTCTTTGAATCCAAAGTTGCGAAGTTTTCATGAATTCCTTTAAGTTTGGAGCATCAAACCCCCAGAAAGGAGTTTGGGACCGGTAGGATAGTCTTGAATTGCTTTGGTGGGAAGTAAACTCAAGATCCCGTGCATAACAAGATGTTAAAATAGGAAGTGGATTCAAGAATAAGAAATGATGGGCATAATGAAATTACCTCACCGTCGGAAGCAAAATCGGGTTGCAAGTTTTTGCATAAAGAATGAATCGCTATATTGAAGATATGAGCATGCCATTCTTGCCACCAAGAGACAAAGAGGGGATGAGCAACATCTATTAGCCCAAATGGAGATGGTTCATATATTGGTAATTCCCATCCTAATTCAAAGACCTTCTTGGCTTCCATTCCTTCCTTACATTATTGCTTCCCTTGATTTTATGATTGTTGAGAAGAGGAATTTTTGGGGCGGTTGGCGCATCCTAATTGTCTGGCTACCATGTTGGGATAATAGAACTCATAGGTGGATTGTACTAATCTCCCATGATGAAATTTCGGTGGCAAAATGCAAGGTTTGATAAAGAAGTTGAAAATCTCTCGTGGATTCTTGGCCCGAACAACCAATTTCATAGCTAAACTTGCGTGGCAAAGTCGATCTTCATTTTCCCCGTAAGAAAACCCGAGCACATTGTCAATCCTTTGAAAAATAGCTTGAAGAGGTGACCAATGTCTATATCAATGCTTATAGATGTCCGCTTCCCCATAAGTCCGACAAGCTTTAACCTTTGTTTGTCTTTGCCTTCAAACAGAAGTTAATCGAGGGGAAGCTTAGGTTGAAGAGGCTCATGGGGGTTATCTCGATGCATATATAGTTGGAGCCACATTTGAATTAGCCACCGGGGCCGTTCACACAAGAAATTTCTCCACCTTGGCACATCGAAGGGTGATCGATGCATCATATGATAAGCGAGACCCTAAAAGATATTTGCCTAATGGGATCTGGGTGCTGCAGCCTAAGTCTTGACCATTACCATGTGATTCGTGGTTGGTTCATTGGATCTTCCACAAAAATGAATCAGATAGCCACATATTCATGAAAGCTTTCAACTCTTTGTCGAGACGGCGCCAGATGTATTCATGTAATTCTCAATATGTTTGACCCATCCACATCCGTAACTAACGGCTCTTTGATTACTCTTGCTCTTGTACTTATAAGGATATATTGGCAATGACACATTCAAACCGGTCATCATGTATACGTCGGCTAGAGTGATGGTCATAATACCATGGTCAAGATAAAGGCATTGGTAGCGTCGGACCAAAAATGAGAAGTCGCTATCGAAGGAATCATTCTCGGTGTCTCTCGCTAAAGATAACTCCAGACAATGACCGATGTCCGACCGCCCCGAAGGGTCGCCGCTCTTCTCCAACATTCTCTGCATGCAGATTGGCGCCATCCGGTGATTGGGGGAATGGCCAATTCTTGAACGTGTTTGGCCATCGGTTTGGTGAGGTAATTCGGACTTGAAAGGAATTCTTTGAGTTTCCTTCTCAATGATTTCGTAAGGTCGGGGTTTCCCATTGGGCCAAGGAAATAGGAGTCGGGTTGGCGGCGTAAGGGATCAAAATCGCTCTTGTACTCCTTTAGAAGATGATTGAAATCGAGGGGAATAAGTCAAAAGAGGAGCGGAAGGATGGGATGAAAGTTGCCGAATATAAATAAAGTTTACCTCTGGGATTTCATCCGGTCGCCATTGAAGATTTAGAGGAGGTTCAAGTTCTTATTTGAAAGATTGAAATTTTGGGCGTAATGCATGCGGTTTTGAACGGTGATGACCTAGGAGGATGAAAGAGCTTGTGGTCAATTTCGAATAAAACAACTTTTATCCCGAAATTGAGGGGGCATGTGTTAACACTTGGATTTTGGTCAATTTCGAAGATGATGGTGGACCCACATGCGGGAAGAAGAGTGTTCGCAAATAACGCAAGCGGTCGGCTAAATGCTTGTGCGGTCGGTTATTCGAAGGCGGTAACTCCATTCGGGAAAGCGAGAAGATGGCAAGCAAAGCCGATCGAGAAGATGAAAGTTGTAATAATAAAGGACTACGAGTTTGGGGCAAGGAATCGTAGTTTCCAAGTTTATTTAAAGAGTTCCTTTGTAAATCGTAGTCTTTTAGGACTCGTGTGTTTCGTCTAGGGTATAAATATTGACCCTCGACCATTGTAATAGGGGTTCACAACCAAATCAATACAACCGGCCCGTGCCAACTTTTTCGAGTCCTTTTTTTGTCGTGTCGTCGAGTTCTTGAGAGGAGTCATCGATCCGTCGACCTCCGTAAGTTCCGGACAACCTTGTTATCATGTTTAGTATCATGCGGTGGATTTAAACGTGATGCAAGTAGTCTTGTTTGTTTTCAATGATCGTATGGCGATCTTTGCTTGACAATCAAGAAGTCTTCGCTTATACTTTGTTTATGAGTAGATACCGTAGATGCGAAAGCGTTTGCTCAATATGCTTAGTGGAAGCAAGGCAGGTTATCGGCTCTATTAGATTACGGCAAAATCTAAATAGATTCATCAAGTTATCTGTGTTGCATGTTTTAAATATTTTATATATTTGTAACACACTTTTGCCCAATCTAGATTGATATTGTTCGGCCCTCTTCTATGGTTTTATTCGAGCTTCAATGATCATTACTTTCATAATACCTTTGCAAATAGATAACATGCTCGTAATGGCCAAATTATTTTAATCTAGATTGTCACATGTTGTGGGTTCATGTATGTTAATCACGTTTAAGTTTTTGACGAAACTAGGTGTCGTCGTGCGAGCATTTGAGTTTTAGATTGGCTTAATCATGTTTATCTACACGTTCCTTCTTCATGGACCCCAACTCTATTTGGATTGTTGAGCTTGGATATGCATTAACGCATAATCAATTTCACTTGTTCAAACATGTCTTTCCATGCATATGCATTCGCAATCAGATCTTTACGTATGTCCATCTTACGATTAATAGAATGATTTATAAACTTGTTGGCGCATGACTTCCTATAGTCGTATGTCGTTGTAAGTGGCTTCAGGTCGTATATACGGGCTATCGGTCTCACCCGACATGTTCCGGTTTGACATTTAACTGTTTTATCCCTTGTCAGTTTCTTTCAGGTCAAACTGACTGGCACGTTCCGGATCACGAAGCACCCGGGCATCCGATTGAAGCTACGCTTTTCGGCTTGCTGTGTGTGTGGCACAGTGCGTCACATTTTGTGTCAACAGGGAGCAAGGCAATGCTGGGTGGGAGAAATCAGACTCTAATATGCACAAAATAATGGCGCCAAAACTAGTTCGAATACCGTACCTGCATATCTCTGTCACATGATTTCAGTTGTATACCAAAACTCTTCACTATCCTGAGAAGCTGCCCCCTAATGTCGACAACCTTCTTCTGTGGTAATGAGAAAAGGATGTAATGAAAAAATATGTGCCCTCACTTGGAACAATTGAAGAACCACGGTTTGAATATGTGCAGATTTTAAAAGGATCACGACCTTGTGTACTGAAGACATACCAGTGCTTGGTAATTCAAAAAGTTCTTGTAACACCATTGGCTAGATTTTCCAGACTGGTGAAATCCTTTGTAGATATTCAGGAATGTTACATGATCTCCCTGTGGTACATTATACATTTAAGGCATAAGAAAATACGATTGACCAACCAAGAGCAAAAACAGACAAAGCACATACTTCTGATGACATGCATGTGGGAAGGTGCTCTAAAATATGGATACACTGGCAATGAAGCCAATCTTAAATACAAGCTCCACAGTAAAAAAAGGTAAACCACCAATCAGCCTGTCACCAGTGTCAGCTTGCTGATGCCATGCCATCAGCGCAAATGCCGCACCAGAAAACACACACGCTTTAAGCAGTGTAAGACGTTGAGGATTTTGCTCAAATACAAAAGCACCTCTTTAATTCAGAAATGGAAACCAGGAACACGGTGAATTAATGACGGGCATATTTTTATGATGCAAAATTCTTCAATTATATTACTGTAACAAATGGGTGTCCCATGTTGATCTCATAAGCAGTGAGCATCAATATAATAGTCAATATTAACAGTTAAGTTGCATCAGGGTTCCTGAGTAGACAATATAAATGTGTCATGTTGATTCCACAGACCTCAGCAGCAGCAAATCGAAGCTTTGCTTCATCAAATTCCTTCTTCACTCCCCTCACAGAAACCCAGACAGACTGTATAAACCATTTGGTATCAGAATAATTGGAAGGTTAAAATAGAATAAGAAAAAGGAAGATAGTGTCTGAGATACAAAATCTAACTTGAACAGATAGAAATGATGCTATGGTCAATATCTCATCAGAGCATCCAAATTCATTTGCTGACAAGATCATTTTCGAAATCATGGGGTCCTGTAAGAAATTAATGTTAGTGTATGTTAACTTGGGAAGAGAATGTTGTTCAGAACGATTGTAAGAATCGCAAAGCATATAGGGGAAAAACAAGCGTCAGATAATATAAGAATGGCCAACAAAGTTGCAGAGGCTTCCCCAACTCCAGAGCGTTGACAGCTAGGTTCAGCAATGTAAAGATAAGAGCATCTCCAAGAGTCTTTCTAAATCTCACTCTCTAAATCATCATTTAGAGTCATTTGCATAAAAATCACTTTCTATATCTTTTCACTGTCCAACAGTTTTTCGATATCTCGTGCGCACTCTAGAGAGCCTTTCTCGTCTTCTATTTTTGGCTAGCGAAAAAACGCGGAATAGAAGAAGGCTATATTTGGATAACCATTTAGAGAAACTGTTGGAGGGTAATTTTTCACCAAAATCTCTATTCCTAGCATTTAGGAAGGATATATAGAGTCTCTTGGAGATGCTCTAAAAGATGTATAACAGAGTGAAGGGTAAGTAAATAATTAAAACATTGCAACTGCACAACAACAACAACAAAGCCTTTCAGTCCCCAACATGAGCCCCTAGTCACGGTTCAGGCATCTACTGCCCCAAAAGCTTAGCCACAAAGCAAAGCATGTAACTATTTGATTCATGCACGTATTACATACTTCGCACTACACAGCAGTCTCCTTAATTTAGTTTAACAGGCAGTCTGTCAGGCAAAAATATATAACCTTAAGTATTATGCTGAAATAGTAATTGCAAGACAATGCATGTCCCTGTTTTTTATTTCAAAAATGTTTGATTCAATATTTATTTTGCAATCCAGCAGATCAGAATGACCTTAGGATAGCCCCTTTTTTCCCTCTGCAATCTTTCATTCCAAGTAAGGGGTTTCAAATAACACAATCATTTTATCATGCTTAGTAAATTTATTCTGTGAGAGTTAGTAGAACTCTGAATACTTCCAACGATATTTTGATTAAACGCAAATATTGTGACGACTTAATAGCCAGATTAGACTTTTAATGCCCAAATTCTCGTGGTACAATTTGATTGACTCGTGTAAAGCAATGTTGGGGTTGTAAAATATTCATTAACGGATGGCACACAGATCTCCTGCATGTTGAAGAAAAAATGCACTGCTGCAGTAAATATCCAGAGGGGACTGTAGGATAAAAGTTTGACCGCTCTAGAGCTCTGAATTCTACCACAATTTAATTGACCTTTGGGGGTTTTTTCGAACGCGTAGGAGAGCTGCGTATCTTTGTATTATAGGGAAAAAGAGTGGTCCATACAAAAACCCCTCTTACTAGGACCAAGGTAAGAGGGGGTAGACAACCTTTGGGTTTTGATTGCAGGAATTTTGTGGCCTGTGCCTGTGCCTGTGCATTTTTTTCTAGAAATTCACAAGTAATTCCAAAAATCAAAGATTATTAGTCCAGGAAAAAAAAACTCCAACCTAGGAGGAACTAGGTGGGATTTTTCATTAAGAAATAGCACCCAAATTTGGCTCAACGAGGACTATAGCTTGGGTGGTTGGGGCATTCCTCAGCCAACTGAGCCCGGTTTAGTTTCCCTGATGCCTGATAAGTAGTCCACAAATGATACCAGGGAAACTCAACCGAGCTCGGTTTGAAGTAATACCAGTTGCGGAAGTGCCTAATCTCACTAAATACAAACCCAAGAATGAACTAACTCAACACAGCCTACAGCAACTATTCCATAAGCAGAAGGTTCAGAACATTCTATTACACATGGAGTTATCAGTGGGAAAAGTATTAAACAGTACATACCAGAGGGATCTCAGCAACCTGGAAACCAGTGGGTACTGTTAATTTGACATCTTCATCAAGGATTCCTAGGGAGAATAGAACTTCAAGAGCCCGAATCATTGCCTCTGGAGATGGAGAAGCTGGCCAATCAAAGCCCAGAATGTTGTCTATGCCTAGGGCTTTTAACTGCCATCATGGAAAGTAGATCAACAAGGCATTATATTGGTGAACTTCAAAGAGAAAGGAATTATTTACAAAGTCATACACTTTATTCAATATTCAGATAGGCACACATGCAAGATAGAGTTGGTCACATGGACATATACATATTGGACCAAGTTAGCTATATGCTCAATTCTATGCTTAACAATATTAATAGTTATTATCTTCTCTGTGGAAGAAACCAACGGCAAGTTTTTGTGATTTTCATCATTTACTCAAAGTACATGCTTCAATCCAAACTTTCGAAACAAATTCTGACTGGTTCTCCATGTTTTGCATTACTTTTTTTTGGAACTTTCCTGGTTAGATGCAGCAGATCCAAGAATAATCTGTGTAATAGCATATTTGCACATCTAAACAAAAAGAAATGGAACTATACTGTATGCAATCCATATGTCATTTTCAGATCCACATATAAGACCAGTAATGAAAGGTAGGGTGCGCAAAAAATATCTGTTTACAGCATTTATATACAATGATATTGCTAAAAGAATCAGGAAACAGACAAACCAAGGTACCTGTATTATGCAGGAGACCAGGTTGGACCTTTGCATTTCTGGAATTCCTTCTGACTGCATTTCATTAAGATAATATTCCTCTGTATAGAGCCTGCAGGAGATATGATCCAACGAAATTACCAGATGTACAAAGACTGATAAATTCAACTCCAAGGAGAAAAATGTAACGCACAACATAAGTTATTGTGGTAACTACATTTATTTTGCAGTGTCTTATTAATATTAAAATAAAAATGTGTTCAAAATTAGTTATGCTGAAATTACGGCAGCATATGATTGCCATCAGAAACGGAGAATCATAAGTTAACATCATTGCTTGTATTATTAACAAAAATAAATATAATACTTAAATAACAAAACTGACTTACCTAAAGCACTTCCCAGGTCGCACCCTTCCAGCTCTGCCTGCTCGTTGTCTTGCAGATGCCTTGGATATTGGTGCGACAACTAAACTCTCTATGTCAGAAATCTAAGTCAAAAAAGAGATCCAGTGTTATGACACAAGAAAAAGACTAAAAACCAACAATATAAGAAGAGAGTACACCAACGAATTTTGTCTCAGTTTTAATTATCTGATCTAATCTATCTTAAAAAAAGGTGTAGAGGGATTCTGAAAATGATTAACCCAAAGGTGCATGAAAAATAGCTTTTTCAGATATGAGAAGAATTTTACCCTTTTGAGAGTCGGTTGATCCTAGCTACTCTTACACGTTGACGTGCTTAAAATGTATACAACTCCTATTGAAAGGTGAAGCATTGACGTATTTATTAACAGCACCAGATTCTAGCAAACAAGAGAGGGGCCTGAAACTAGTCATGATGAATGCCTTCACAGATATTTATTACAGGATTCAAAATCCAAGAATTCTCATGCTTGCATACAAAGTAAATGGGCACAGACAAGTTGGAATCTGAAGGTGATTGCACCAGTTGGCATTAGAATGTTCACTTTAAATATTCTAAGACAAGGGAACAGAAAGTAGAGCTATACCAATGACTGGCAGAATGCAGTGATAAAGTCAAGTTGCAAAGAAATAGTGGACTATTTGTCATAGAAACAGAAATGAGAAGTACCGGATTATAACATTTCTGCTTGGAAAATCCACTATCAACAACATACACCACACCCTGCAACAAACTCACAGAATCAATAACATGTTTACAATCAACATGGTATTCATTAGACTAACCATGCAATACCTCCAGAGTCAGCGATGTCTCAGCAATGTTGGTTGATAACACAACTTTCCTTTTCCCTTTTGATGTAGGAGCAAAAATGAGATCCTAGAAAGCCAAAGAGAAACAGGCAGGGTCAACTTGCAGATGGAGAGGTGCCAAGTGCAACATAATTTATTACTAACACTAATGTGGATTACTAACTTGATCTCCCCGCGGAAGGCCAGAGTATAAGGGCAAAATCAGCAAGTCTGAAAATTGAAGCAATCTGAATGCATTAGAAACCAAAATTTACAACCGCAATCAGAATGCAATTTAACAGGTAGACTTGTGCCAGAGTGATGTGGGGGCTCAAATACCAGTGGTGGGCTCAGACTGGGTGTGGAACAGGACATGCATGGCCTGATTGCCTGAATAGGCTGCACAGGGGTTGTCTGGCATGAAAAGCTTAGCTGTTGCAACCTTATTTTGAACTATTTTCGTGGCTTGCTTCATGGTCATATTAGCTGTCTTGTTAGCCATCAGCTCCTAAAGATCCAGTTTGTTAACCTCATTTTTTAGTGGCAGCCTATCAAGGCGTCAGAATGTCAGTCTACTTCCCTAATAAAGATGTAGCAAGTCTGATATCTAAGTTCATTCATTCTCTCTCATTCTCAACCCCTTCCTGAGCGCGCCAAATTCTGGAATCACTTCCAAACCACGCGGGGGGTAGCTGGCCAGATACAAGTCTGGTGCTTCCCTATTACCAACTGCAATAAAAAATCCCTTGTACGTAAGCATAACTACCGAACATTCACGTCTAGAATATCATCCCCTGGACATAATTAGTAGGATTAACCTAGTTTAGTTTGCCATTTTCTATGATGCAAAGAGAAGAAATTACCCAAATAGTGTCTTCCAAGGTGTTGAATTTCTTCATTCAGCAACTTAACAGCAGCTTCTATGTCATCCTGACCAGTTAAGAATACCAAGATATCCCCAGGTGGTTCCTGCAGAAAAAAATCTTCAAGTGAAGACAAAGCAATGCTATTCGATTGACCAGAAAACTACCAGTGAAATAATATGAAAGATTGTAGTTCCATGTATTACTTCAGAAACTAAAAACACTGTAAAATGGAATCAGGAAACCATGCCTACCTATCTGAACTATGATGGCAACATTTAAGAGTTTCATACCTTGCCTGACATCATAACCTCATAACTTATGAGAGGCAGACTGGCAATATTTACTATGTAGATAAATATTAAAACTATAAAAATGCTAATTACAAGGATAAGAAACAGTTTTTGCTTTCTTTTTCTCAACTTGCTTCATCCAGAAACATTTCAACATGTCATCTCTTAATCACAAGCAGTGTTTTATTTGATTTGATGATTACATTTTATCAACTTTGCTATAGGAATTTAAGTTTATTGTTTTCTTCTTAATATATTGATACGCAGATCTCCTGCGTATTCGAGAAAAAAAAATTAAGTTTATTGTAACTGCCAAGTTATAATTTGAGTATCAATGCTTCAACAATGAGCATGTGATTGGACATAATACTTCTACAGGTCACACAGTAATGGCGGTTCACAAGCACTTATGTAAATCACTAGTAGAGTTTATGGTAGCTTCAGAGTTTCATCTAAAATCTGAAACAGTAATCTGAATAAGATTGATGTTTGTTTTGTTATAAGTTGAAAAACAGCTTAATGGAATTACTAAAATACCGAAGAACAAATCCAATTTCGGGAATAAAGGAAACTGAAGTCACAAATCGTCAAAGGTATCACACATTATAGCCCAAATCACATCCAAATTTCCATTAAACAGCAAAAAATAAACAACCTTTTCGTGAATAAGAAGTACAGTATTCACAACAGCCTGTAAATAGTCTGAGACAGGTTCTTCGACATAATGAATTTCCACGGTGTATCCTTTACCCTGGAGAACCAGATTATGTCTTTATCAATAAAGAGCATTACAGCACTCTTCCATGCTTATCTCATCTCATCTCAAAAGAAGAACATACTTCAACAGAAAGTATAGCAGGTTCTGGGCTGGGCAAATCATCAGAAGACCCAAGCAAGGAATTCTTCCGCCTATGAAGTAAAATATAAAGATCAGGACCATACTAGCTTGTTAGCAGAAATGGAGTCAGTAGTGCATACGATGGATGTATATGATGTTTGAACACCAGTCACCAATGCATGCATCAGAGTTAACAATTGGATGTAGTTGATAAATAGGATTCTCATTGCATTAACCATGGCAATACCTTTATCTTGTTCATTAAAAGTAACAAACAGTGAACGAAGGCATGCTGCATGAGATTCTACTGATACCAGTATGCTTAGATTTATCGCTTATGCTGTTATGCATGTATCATGGCTACCACAAATTGAGTATAGCATAGCTACATGGCTACCAAAAATTGAGTATAGCATAGCTACATGGCAGTTATTGAGAAAACACTTCTGAATTTCAACGGCCAGGATAGCCAGATAGGCAATGCGCCTTTTCACTTGGCAAGGCTATAGGCAAAAGATAATAACATGCAGCCAGGAAGAAATGAAACTTCTTGATAGGGGTAGACCTAATGTTGAAGAAGGATGACATTGATCTTGCTTCAATTGTTGCAGAGGAGATAATAAGTCGCAACTCAGGCCGACGACGTTGAATCTGATTTATCCATGTAAAGATACAGGCATTGCAGGGAATTTAAATACTATTCACAAACAAGAACATTAAGAGAAAGCCAACTCTGATATTAAAGAGATATTATAACCTTTTTCAAGAGACCCAGCAACATGTCGGTTGAGATGGATCTTTCATGAGCTTCGTCCACCATAATTACACTAATAGAATAGAAGAGCATGGATCGATGTGTGGGTTAAGGGAATTGGTATGGAACCCTCCAAGGCAACAAATTAGATAGTTATTAATGGATTTTCACCCAAGATAAAAGGAGTTTACTCCATTATGAATTAGCTTGATACCAATATATACTTATATGGAATAAAAGAAAGTCACTTCTACTACTGGATCAAACATGGTTGAGTAATAATGACAAAGAGACAGGTAAACTATTTGGGATTCAATCTTATGGGAGTACCTATACTTGGTAAGAAGAGGATCTTCCATCATTTCTCTAATCAATACCCCATCTGTGAGAAATTTTATCATGGTCATACCCTAAGAAACCAGGCAGGCATAAGAGGATTAATAGGACAAGAAAAGTGACAAATTTGAGTACCCTGCTTTGGTACCCAAATTAGTTTAACATGTTTCATATTGCGGATTCATATAAAGAAAGCTAGTGTAAGGAGTAAAACTTGATTGTACCGGATTTGTTTGATCTTGAATCGGATTGTATAACCAACTTCTTCTCCAAGCTTCACACCTACTTCTTCACTACTCTTGATGCAACCGTCTGTTCAATACTAAGATGAGTTGAAAAGGCAATAATAAAGGCGTGCACCAGTCAGAGAGAGCTCCCGCTCTGCGGTGGGTCCTGAGAAGGGTGTCGATGGCAAGCCTTACCTCGCTTTGTGCAATGCGAGGAGACCAAGAACTCGAACCGGGACCTTCCGGTCACAAAGTGATAAGACTCTACCGCTTGCACCAGGCCCGCCCTTCTTGAAAAGGCAATAATAAGAAGCAAAAGAGAAGGAGAAACATCTATATACCATAATAGGAATACTATACGACAACATCACAACAGTGTGTCACGCTAGTTAAATCTGTAGTCACTAATCAGCATCCATCAAGTCAGTCAAGCATACTATTCTACCCACTGATTGCTCTAGAATGGGATCTAAGAAAACTAGTATCACATGAGTATGTGTTCAGCATAGTACTTCCCAATGCTGAATTGGTACATAGGGTATTCTTTCGCATACATCCTTTTACCAGGATATAATCAAACATTGAATTTCTGATAAGTAAATAATGTTCAAGGGGGCATAACAGCAAGTGAGTACAAGTTTCAGAAATTCAATACTAAAATATTGATCCAGACCATGTGATGTATGTTTGATGAGTAATTGCAGAATCAGAGCATGCTAAACCTGGTCACAATTTTTTTTCTTGATCGGAAAGTATAGCTAATGAAAGAACACAGTTGGAAGTTTAACCATCCAAAACATGTAGACAGAGCAAACTGTGGCATCATATAAGATGAAAAATGGAATACTTTGTGTACCCCAAAATAATACCTACACAGACCTCATCAGACGAAAAACAAAGGCCCTAGTATTGCATAAATAGTTCTCACAAGCACAAATGAAGATTAAAAGCGCTTGATACCTGCACAGCCAATCGTCTGGGCTGAGTGCATCCTATAAGTCGACCACCATCAGCCCAACCAGCTTCCTTAAGGTACTGATCAAAGTACAGTAAAATTATTAGAAATAAAACATAATCGGAAAGAAAAACACAAATTACTTGTAGGTTTCTGTTTTCAGAAGCTTATATGCTTCGAAGCTTTAGTCTGTCTTGCATTCTTGCTGCCTCATTTTTGCTCCTCTAGTCCTCTTTTCCACCATTTTGGATCATTGCACGCATCTAAATGATTGTACACTAGTGTATATGTCCAATATAAGAGCTAGCTTTGATGTGGATCTACACACACACAACACAGAACCTATAACACCACCAGTAGGCGTGGATGGTCAGTGGTAGCTGGTAAACACCACCTCGAGGGATGAATGCATTACAGAATGGAGTCGTGGCAGCTCCATATAGAATTACTGTCCAAATTCTAATCCACTCAGGAATCCAATTACAAGGGCATATGCCAAACGCACACACAAGATGTTTGGTGAAATCCAAACAGAATTATCACAAATACATTGAGCACTGGTTAAGTATACCCATCGACCTCGTCAGTCGTCACCTTAAGGCAGTAAGCCAACCCCGAAAAATTCGCATATCTAGAATACAGAATGTATGAATGCTTGCTATGGGAACTCAACCACGCGAAGCAGCTGTTCGACCAAATGCCAACTGACAGAAGCGCAGCACGCAAAATCGTAACCATCCCTTTAGACACCCCGATGCGTTCGATGAAGCAGCGAAGGACTTATGGGAGTACCTGAGGGATCTGCGTGGACTTGCCGCTGCCAGTCTCGCCGACGACGATGGTGGTGGCGTGCCGCTCCACCAGGTAGAGGATGGCCTTGCGGTACTTGTAAACCGGCAGCCGCTGCCGCTGTCTCTCTAGACTCGCGTAGCCAAAGCTACCAATGCAACAGCGCGAACACCCCGTCTCAGATTTTGAATCGTCGAGCAACGAGTTTGAGGACAAAGGCGGAACGGAGGAGAAGGTTTAGGGTTTAGAAGCGCACCCGGAGGAGGAGGCGGAGCTGGTGGAGGAAGGTAGGAAGACGACTCCGCCCTCCTCCTCGTCGACGAGCAGGGTGCTCGGCTTCTCCGACCCCGGCTTCCAGAACCTCGACATGGCTTGGCCGCCGAGCGCCGACTCTGATGGCAACTGGCAAGCGATGGCGGGGGCTGAGCCGAGAGGCTGACGCTGGGGAAGTGGGGATAAGTTAGCGACAGAGCGCCAACAGTCGTGGGCTGGGCTGGGCAGCATGAAAACACACAGCCCAGTAGTCCACCGCGCGGGTTTGGGGCATAGCCCACTACAAGTATTTTTTTTTCTCCTCTCTCATCTCATTTCCTTTCTTGTTGGTGTTTGTTTAACAGTTGTTGTTGTTTTGTAAAAAGTTTCAATAGAGGTATCATCTCATGAATCCCCACCATTGTAACTTTTACCTCTCTATATAATAATGTTATTAGAGAATGTATATATACCCCTACACTAGAAAAAGGGGTCTCATTTTGTATATCCCTACACTTACTTTTAACCAATAAGAATAAGTATGAAATATTGCAATACATAACAAAGTTAGTATTGTTATAGTAAACTACTCTTTAGGAAACATAACAAGTTATAACATTTACACAAAACTCAGTTGAAATATGCAGAAATGGAGGGAGTGTATCCTTTGCTCCATGAAGCTTTTTTCCTTCTCTACTCCACAAAGATGAATGAATGCTACAAGGGAGTATATATAAGATGATGGCGAATACACCATCATATCTGCAAAAATGTAAGAGTATATGCAAAAATGTAAGAGCATATACCAACATCTCCAAAATCAACCATGAAATATATTTCGCTGAAATTTGGCTTATGCTTATGCTTATGCTGATTTGTTGTGAGAGAAAAACATTGTTCGTTCGCTGAAAAATACTGCTGAAGCAGTGCAGCAGAACAGGGATTATAGATAGTTGGAGTTAACAATTGATTGGTGAGAGCCTATGTCTCGATATGTATCTATCAATCCATGGATATGATGGGAGGGACGTGTTAATATAGCAGGCCGACTATTATGGTTAAACAAAAAGCCAACGCGACATATCTATTATTATTAAGGATCTCTTTAGAGTGCAGGATTTTCGTAGAAATCGTATAGGAATTTCAGATAAATCGGTTTGGTATGCCCCGGGCCGGCTGCTCCGTAATGCATGGAGCCAGAGGCCTGCCGACGCCCCATGGCCTCGCCCTAGTGGGCATGTGTCTGTCCCTTGGTGCGGTGTCGTGCGCTGGTCTGCTGGCATGCGAATCCCCCGTCCCCGGCCCGTTGCATGCATGCTTAGTGGCCTTCTTCGAAGGATCCAATCCATCGCATTGATTTATTGACCTGCCTCGCTAATCACTCCCCGCCAGCGCTAATCACCCTGCCCCGCTCCCTCTATCGCCCCAGGTCCCTGTACCGACGCGAAACCGCCGCCCGAGCCTATCGCCCAGCTCGCCCTCCTGCCCGCACCAACCGCACCTGCTTTGCCCAATCCGAAGCCACGCCTCCCACGTCTCTCGTGTTGCTGGAAAAAGCTCGGGGAAGCGGCGGTGGTGGGCTCCCGTGCGGCTGGGGATCGGCCGCGTTGCGCTCCACCGTCATCTCGATGCGCCACTGTCAGCGCCCTCGCCCTGCCAGCCCACCGTCCTCGCCGTCGAGCGCTGCCACCACACTACCCTATCCGCCGCCTCCCCATCTCTTCCCCACGTGCTGTTGCGCCTACGGTGGTGGAGTCTTCTCTCGGCAGCGGCGCTGGGCTGCTGCCCAGTGTTGTTTGGCTCTGCAAATTTGTCTGCTCAGCCTGCTTCTTCGTCTCCACATCCCCTTCCTCCAGTCCAGGTATTCCACGAAGATATTGCTGAAAGCTCTAGTTTGGTTTTGGTGAATTGATGAAACCTTAAGTGCTAACCTGGTTTATCAAGTGATTATGAGATAGGTAGCACATTCCAAGTGGTGAAGCAAATGAATATCATAATATGGTGATGGTGATGATTAAGTGCTTGGATTTGAAAAGAAGAAAGAAAAAGAAAAAGCTCAAGGCAAAGGTATAAATGGTAGGAGCCATTTTATTTTGGTGATCTAGACACTTAGTGAGTGTGATCACATTTAGGATCGATAGCCGTACTATTAAGAGGGGTGAAACTCGTATCGAAATGTGGTTATCAAAGTGCCACTAGATGCTCTAACTCATTGCATATGCTTTTAGGATCTAGTGGAGTTCTAACACCCTTGAAAATGTTTGTGAAAATATGCTAACACATGTGCACAAGGTGATACACTTGGTGGTTGGCACATTTGAGCAAGGGTAGGAAACTTCACCGGCGGACAGTCCGACGGTGCCACCGTTACCCTAGACAGAAAAGACGGAGGTCACTGTAAGTGACCGGACGCTGGTCTCGGTAGGACCGGCGCGTCCGGTCAGGTGGAGCATGAAGACGCTGGCATCGGTCTTTGACCGGACGCTGGGTCACTTAGTGATCGGACGCTGGAGGGGTGCGTCCGGTCCTGCTGATGTGGCAGCGCACATAAGAGTCACCGTGTGATCGGACGCTGGGTGGGTCCGGTCGAGCATGACCGGACGCGTCCGGTCGTGAAAAATCATCTCTGGATGCTTACTAGAAACGACCGAACGTTGGGGTTCAGCGTCCGGTCACTTTGAGCTGCTGTGTCCAGTCATCACTTGATCGTTGAGATCGGGCGATCGACATTTGAAGAGAGGGGACACATGGCACGCATCGCGTGACCGGACGCTGAGGTCCAGCGTCCGGTCAATATGACTGGAGCGTCCGGTCACCCCGTGTTGTGCCCAGTGAAGGGGTACAATGGCTCTATTTCATGGGGGGCTTCTATTTAAGTCCCATGGCTGGCTCAAGCTCATACCCTTGGCTATTTGCATTGACATAGCAATCTTGTGAGCTTAGCCAAAGCCCTCCCACCCATCTCCATCATTGATTCATCATCTTTGTGAGATTGGGAGAGAATCCAAGTGCATTGCTTGAGTGTTTGCATCTAGAGGCACTTGGTGTTCGTGTTTCGCTGCGGGATTCGCTTGTTACTCTTGGTTGTTGCCGCCACCTAGACGGCTGGGAGCAGCAAGGATCATCGAGCAGAGGGTGGTGATTGTCTTCGGCTCCGTTCGTGGTGATTGTGAGGGGTTCTTGACCTTTCCCCGGCGGAGAGCTAAAAGGTACTCTAGTGGATTGCTCGTGGCTTGTGTGATCCTCATCTTATGTTGGTTGTGCGGCACCCTATTGAGGGTTTGGCGTGTGATGCCAATTAGCGCGTAAACCTCCAATTGAGAGAATCGCCACAACGAGGAGCAGCTTGCTGGCAAGCAAGTGAACCTCGGTAAAAAATCATTGTGTTCATCATTTGATTCTGAGGTGATTGTTCATCATTGGTATTCATTCTTGTGATTGATTGATTCACTCCTCGACTCGACGGTATAACCATTTTGCTCAATCTCTTTACATTAACGCAAACTAGTTGTCAAGCTCTTTATTAGTGTAGCTAGTTGTGAGAGCCTGCTAGTTTGGTTAGTGTGGCTCTTTAGTTAGCATTTGAGAGCACACTAACTTAGTGTAGTGACATAGCTATTGTGTGGAGAAAAACTATATAAACTAGAATTGTGGTAGGTGGCTTGTATTTTTAGTAGGCTAGCGCAACACTTGCTTCACCTCATAATTGTCTAATCGGTTTGTTAAGTGTTGTTGTAGAAATTTTTATTAGGCTATTCACCCCCTCTAGCCATTAGGACCTTTCAATTGCCTGATCTCTCTCTCTCTGTTCTTGTTTCATGTCCTGGATCTTCATGTATACCTATCCTCTCAGTTACTACAACCTCTCTATCTTGTGGATTTGTGGTTCGATGAATGTGATTTGAGATAGCCAGATAGGGATTCTTAGATGTTTCCTTCAGAGTTTTAGGACATTAGATTAGATGTTTCCTTCAAAGTTTCAGCACATTAGATTAGTACAGTAGGACCAACAACCATGACAAATTAGCAAAATTGCTATCACCTACATCACAGTAGATGTCAGTTTTTGTTAAACTGGCAAAATTGCTATCACTTGCATCACAGTACTTGTCAGTTTTATTAAATACGTATGTGTGTCACAGGCATACATGTGCACACCCAATGTCCTTTACTAGATACGTGGCTGCGGTCTATGTGCTTAGATCTACTTTACTGTGAATGTCCCTGTTCTCCTCATCCAATCCCCTCCCAAGCTTATTTAATCACTCCTTTTTTGTGTGTGTGGTTCAGACCTAGGAAGGTCATTTGGATCGGTGATAACCAAAGACCACAGTTTCACATCATTAGGATGAGTAAATTGTGCAAAGCAAGAGAAGGAGGGCTTGGTCTCTATGATTTAGCAAAGGTGTTGATAAAGCCCTCTATTTTTTCTCTTTTCTGTCTTTCCAATCAAGAAAGAAAATGCTTCCATGTTGATGTTAGAACCCAAGCATTAGAGGCATCTTGATGTTGAAATTGAAATGCCTTACCATGTGGCAAAGAGAAGAAGCAACATCAAAATAGGAGAAGAATGATTTCCTTACTCTATAATCAAAATCTTTCTTCCACCCATTCAAGAGGATCATTTCTGTTTACCGCTCAAAACAGGTCTCTTGGTTGAACTTAACAGAAATATGTTAACCTTGCAACTGCTAATTTTCACTGTTTTTTTGAGGAGTTAACCAGCAGCGAGTTGTGTCATTCTCATAAGATACTCTTTATGCAAGAACAAAAAACATGTTACCTACTGATTTTTCTTTATGCAAAATAGAAGGACAGTTTTGTTTGGTTGTTGGTCTGCAGGGAGAAGTTGTTGTGGGAACAGACTAAACCCACTGGGGCAAAGTTTAATTAACTTTTGTGTGTTCGGGCCATATGCAAATCAATCCCTTCTCACTTTTTTATTTTTGTGCTCCCCTACATATCTAATTAGTTTGTTGTTCTCAATGAAATCAATTTCACTCAAGGGGATCAGAAAGGGTGGAGGCATCTCTACCAGCTACTATTAGTTTGTTGTTCTCAATTAAATTAGTTTCACTAAAGGGGATCTGAAAATGTCGAGGCATGTCTACCAGCTA